CTACTTCCATAGTGATACTGCCTCGGAAACCCAAGGAGGGGTTGCTATGAGTCAGGTCTGACTTGACGGCACATAACAACAACAGCAACAATATATAAAATAGAAGCATAACTTTCTCTCTATTTTTCTTTCATTTTAGTATGCAGCACTGTTAATGTGTCCCACTGGTGTTCAGGTGGTACTTTCAGCACTCATCTTCACAAAGAAAGAGGAGGTATGGAAAGTGAATCCTTATCTATCCATTGTTTTATTTGAAATCTAAAGAAAATTGAATACCTTAGATTTTTGAGACCTTTGAATCTATAATAAAAGCCAAAGGTAAATATCTTTAGGGGGCAAAAAGGGATTCAGTGGAAACACTAGAATTCTAGATAGGGAATCAGGAGTCATATTGGAAGGATGAGCTGGATGCATTTGTTTATAACTGGGCTTGGATAAAGATTCCCTGGGTGGCACAAATGGTTAAGCACATAGCTGTAAAGATGGGTTACTAACCAGAAGGTTGGTGGCTCAAAACCACCCAGATGTACCTTGAAAAAAAGGCTTGTGATTTACTGCCAGTAGGTCACACCCATGAAAACCCTATGGAACACAGTACTACTTGAAAACACACAGAATCATCTTTAGTCAGAACCCACTTGATAGCAACTGATGGGATATTTTGTTTTGTTTTGTTTAGTGGGGAGGCATTTGGATAAGATTGAGAGAATTTTGAATAACAAAGAAATGAGGGAAGAAGCAATGTTGAGTGTGAGAAATCCAAATACCTTCTGCTACTCATGTTATCACTACTGCACTCTATTTTATATATGGGAGCTCTGATGATGTAGTGCCTCAGGCATGTGACTGCTAACCAGAAGGCTGGTGGTTCAAACCCACCAACCACTCCTGGGAAGGAAGGTTGGGCAATCTACTTCTGTAGTGGTACTGCCTCGGCAACCCAAAGAGGGGTCGCTATGAGTCGGGTCCGACTCGACAGCACATATGCAGTGTAGTAAATCACTTAGTGTGGCTTTTCTACCCATAAGTCTTTGTAAACTCCAAGGTGGGATTTTCTATGGGCAACTGAGGAGCTCCTGATTGTTGAAGGTGTCCACCTGGAGTATTTCTGTTGGGAGTG